TATATCTCTGCCCTGTCTGGGCCTCAGTTTCCCTCACTGATTCTTGGTGTTTTCTCCACTACAGGCACATAGGGCAGCCCAACGAAGCCTTAAAGTTCCTGAACAAGGCACGCAAGGACAGCACTTGGGGCCAGAGCGCCATCTACCACATGGTGCAGATCTGTCTGAATCCAGACAATGAGGTTGTGGGCGGAGAGGCTTTTGAGAACCAGGGGGCCGAGAGCAAGTAAGGGCCCGTGAAGGCAGAGGCGGAACCCTGGGGAAGTTAGAGAGAGCCTGCAGCCTCTGGGTTGGAGCCAGGTGAGGGCCACACGGGCAGGCCACCTGCCTGTGTCTGACACCCAAGTCTAACACCTGCAGCTACACAGAGAAGAAGGAGTTGGAACAGCAGGGCGTGAGCACCGCCGAGAAACTGCTGCATGAGTTTTACCCGAATTCAGCCTCCAGCCAGACCCAGCTGCGGCTGCTGCAGGGCCTCTGCAGGCTGGCCACCAAGGAGAAGGCTAACATGGAGGCTGCACTGGGCAGCTTCATCCAGATAGCGCAGGCTGAGGTGCGGCTGGTGGGGACTGGCGGGCGTGGACAGGTGGCAGGGCCGAGGCTGACCAGGCGGCCAAGGCATGCTGACGTCCATTTCCCACCCGATGTGTAGAAGGACAGTGTCCCTGCCTTGCTGGCCTTGGCACAAGCCTACGTGTTCCTGAAGCAGATCCCCAAGGCACGTATGCAGTTGAAGCGCCTGGCCAAGGCCCCCTGGGTGCTGAGTGAGGCTGAGGACTTGGAGAAGAGCTGGCTCCTGCTGGCCGACATTTACTGCCAGGGCAGCAAGTTTGACCTCGCCTTAGAACTGCTGCGGCGCTGTGTGCGGTACAACAAGGCAAGGAGCCACACACACGGGGGCTGCAGGGTGGCAGAAAGGGTTCTAGGCATTCCAGGAAGGTGAAGCAGGCTTTGCAGGCAGAGGTCCTATGGAATAACTAGTCAGGTAGAGGCAGGCTGAGAGGGGCACATGGGCAACAGACCAGAATAGGAATGAGGATCAAGGGCAATGGACTAGGTAAGAGGAGGTACACAGGGTCGTGTCATGTCCAGAGGAGGGAACACTAAATGACAGAAAAAGATGGGAAAGTTTCAAGGGTTCCAACCTGGAGGGACTTTTGCAGGTCAGAGCAGGCCAGGATTGGGAGTGGCGGAACAGGAGAGCTGCAGGGAAAGGGGTTACACCAGTGTCTGGGGTAGCTGAGAGGAGGGCACACAGTTGGCTCCTTGCAAAGGTTGGGGTACCCCTGAGGTCCCTTGGCAGTTTGGTTTATGGCAGCTCACTTCTGTCCCTTGCCTGCTTCTGGTTCTGGTCCTAGTCCCACCCTGGCCCAGGGAACCAGCAGAGGCTCTAACTGGCTTTCCCCGCAGTCCTGCTACAAGGCCTATGAGTACATGGGCTTCATCATGGAGAAGGAGCAGTCCTACAAGGATGCAGTCACCAACTACAAACTGGCCTGGAAGTACAGTCATCACGCCAACCCTGCCATTGGTAAGGCAACCAGCCAGGGTGCACATGAATGGACGTGGGAGGGAGGTGGGCAGGAGGATCCCCACCATGACCCCAGAACTCAAGGCCTGTACCCTGGCTATTATGAGAACCATAGGGGTTCTCAGGTCACCAGGGTGCCACCATCTATGCTCTCCATGCCCCTGGTAGGCTTCAGACTTGCTTTCAACTGCCTGAAGGACAAGAAATTTGTGGAGGCCATCGAAATCTGCCACGATGTAAGCCAGCAGCCTTGGCGGGGAGGGCCTGGTGTAGTGGTCGGGAACCCTGCCTGATACTGCATACCCATTCTCTGTTCCAGGTCCTCAGGGAGCACCCCAACTACCCCAAGATCAGGGAGGAAATTTTGGAAAAGGCCCGAAGGTCCCTGAGGCCCTAGCTGGGGCCAAGGGGTCTGCAGTAGAAGCCATCAGCCTACTGAAGTTGTGTGGAGGGATGGAAAGTGGGTCAGTGGAGAAGGGATTCAGAAAATGACACATTCTTCCCCATTACTATTGTGTATGTGGTTTATTTTGAATCATGTTTCATCTGACCTAAGGGTCATCCCAAAGCTTTATGTTTTTAAGGCACAAGAAATTTTGCTCTGGGAAGAAAGACATCAACTGGCTTAACTTTTGCTGGGCTCATTGGGTGCTTTCTAACAGACCTTGCTTTTATCCCAGACTCTTTGAGGGGGCAAAGGGGAGCAAAGAGGGGGCTTCTAGTGGAATGGTGGTTGAAAAGGATCCCCTTCAGCTATTTTTCAATGGTTGTTGCCCTTCTCCTGTCTGGTCTCCAGGATCCTGGAGCTAGAGAAGCAATTACTCCTCCCTTCCATGCTACCCTCTGAGTCTGCCTGGCGGTGGGCCCAGGATGCTGTGGGCAGTGTGCCCAGACAGGAGGATCAGCTGCAAAAGGTCCTGTGTGAGAGGGCCTGCAGGGTGCAAGGGCCATTGTCCCACCCTGTCCATGCATTGTTTCCCTTTCCCCTGCCACCTCCCCCCTACTCCCCAGCAAGTCCAGCTGGCTTCTCCTGGTCCTTACCAGTTTGGGACAAACCTGACTACCCTCGCCTGGCACAAGGAAATACATTCCAAGAAAAAATAGTTCCCACTTTGGCTTTTACAAAAGACACTGGCCATCTAACATCCTACAGAAACCCTTTTAATGTCTAAGAGGGCAAATGCAGTGGTTCCTATTTAGATGAATAATGTTAACTGCAACTGGCAAGAGGGTGACAGAGGGCACCTTTGCTGTGCTCCCAATACCACTCTTCCTTGATGTCATTAAGGATGCCAATAATGGGACAGTCTGGCCTCAGGACAGTCAGGAAGCCTAGGATCTCCGAATGTGGACTTCCCAGGTCCCTTCCCCTCTCTGGGTCTTAGTGTCCCCATTTGTGGCAGGAAATTAGATGTCTCCCAAATCATGGCACAACTCTCTGCCAGTGATATACAGCAAACATTTTAAAGTTTAATAACGGTATGCTTACACATCATTTTTACATAGAAAACCAAGTAGCACAACAAAGTCAGGAATTTACGGGTGCTGTTCCATGGGATGGGTTTAACTTTTAAGCATACTGATATATTTGGAGAAAAATTATTTAGAGTAAGTAGAATGCAGATATGGGCAGAGTTTTCAAGAGCAGTTGTCCAGTGACTAAGGTTTGGGAACAGTGGACAGAGAAGGGTCCCTTTGGAACAGTGTAACTCGGATGGCTGCTGGGCCTCGTTTTTATAACACACTGCTGATCACATGTATGGTTTGTTGATAGAAGCTGGGGATCTGGAATGCTTTCCCCAGGTTACTACCATCTTTCCTATGGGAAAACCCAGTCCCCTTTCTGTGATCTGCTTTACAACCCAGTTTTGTTGGGACAGGTTTGTTGACAGGTCTATCTATATGGAGAATGATCCTGTAAAGGGATTGTGTATTAATCATGTTTTTGCTGTAAAACCTAGATTGTCTTCATTTATCTAAAAACAAAGAAACAAAAACTAAGAACCCTGTGGCCCTAGATGGGACTAGGCAGGCCTCCGTCCAGCCATGGGCTGAGTCCATGGGGCGGAAGCCTTTGGGGCTTCCTGCTGGAGTACTGGAGCTGAGGGGTGCCACCCAGACCACCAGGCCAGTCAGAGTGACCCTGAGAGCCCTTGGAAGAACCCAGGTTTTGGATTGTGCATGCTGAAGTAATCTCTACAAAAGGGTCTCCAGGCACCAGTGAAGAAGAGACAGGACAACTTAGTGGACCGGGGCACTTTACCCTGAGAAGACAAAGGCCTAGCTATTCCTAGCTAAGCTGGTTACAGGGACATACTGCCCCACCACAGGCCAGATTCCAAAGCATGAGTCCTCTAATGGCACTGATAGAGCCATGTGGTCATGTCCATGCATGTCCAGAGGCAAGAGACAGATACCTAAAGGGTGACAGGACAGGCAAAAAAGAAAGGATTAAACATACAGAGAAAGAATGGCAGAAACATGAAAATTGATGCAAGTTGCAAACGTACACAGGACTTGCATGTTCCAGGCACTCTTTAAGGGCTTTGTAAATATGAACTAAACAAGCTTATGAGGTGAGTAGTGTCATTATTTGCATGCAGTATCGAGGACACCCAGGCACAGAGGGAGTAATTTGCATAAATCACCTCACTAGGTAGTAGAAAATCCAAGATTCAAGCCCAGCATTCTGGCTCTGTGCTCTTAACAGTCAAGCCAAAGAGATGAGTGAGCCCAGTATAGACCAAGGCCGGGAATTAGAGCAAGGAAACCCAAATCAGTTCTCCTCTGGCAGTTCCTCCTTCCAGCTCTTGTACAAATCACTTATCATTCCTAAGGGGGAAGTCAATCTTTCTCAGGCCTCCAGACTGGGGCTCCCCAGAGCAGGGTGTGGCCTACTCCTCTGGCCTGCAGCCCAGCTGAGCTGCCAGGGACAGGTCAGACAGGTCTGGCTGGTGCAGATGGATGAGGTTCTGCAGCTTCCCCCCTGCCCTTCCCGCTGACCCCCTGGCTCAAGTCCTCATGGACCACAGCCGCTATGTAAGGCCATCACCAGGCCTTGACCAGGCACATCCCCTTGCCCTGCCTCCATCCAGGTTGGTGAATTCACCCTCAGGACAAGGCCTCAGCTCAGTGTGGGTGTGTAGGAAGAAGGGTGCCCTCAACCATCCCCAGCAGATAGCCCCACGTCAGAAGACCCTGCTGCTGCTCCTCCCCACCACCCCAGGTCACCACTGTAGAGGAACAGGTTAATCCAAAGGAAAAAGTGCTCTGCCTAGTCAGCCTCTCAGCTGGCTTCCTGCCTCCAACTTGACTGGCTTGCCTGGAAAGAGGCCCAATATGCTGGGTGTGCCTACTTCTACCCCCCAACACAGCCTGTGTCCATACTGCCCTCTGCAGGGCTTGTCCCCCCATCCCCACTTCCCCTGAGGGTGTACCCCTGCTTCCCACCCCAGAAATACAGACCACATTGTTAAAAATAAAGCCTCTTTATTGGTACCTGTAAGCTCAGGTACAAGGTGTTCCCATAAGCACACAGGCTGGCAAGGCCTCCTGGGCAAGGGGGCAGGCCCAGAGCCTGCGTTTCTTGGCACTGACACAGAAATGGAATAAATTATAGTTTTGACCCTCAGGGACAATGTAGAAAGTATGATGCAAAATTAAACATTAGCAAACAAAGGGTATAAAAGCCCTCAGGAGCCACCCCTCACCAACTGGCCTCAGGGCATGGGCAGGTGGGCCAGGCCAAAGTGCAGTGCCCAGAAAGCCCTGAGATAATAGTCTGGGGCATGGTTCGCGCCCGAGGTAGGCCCTTTGCCCTCTCTGGGCCTCCTGTTTCCTCCCCTCTCCTACATCCCTGGGCCTGGAATAAAGGCTACGGCCTTTGGGGAAGGGGAAGATGGAACAGAGGGCAGGAAGTGGAGGGGGCAGGGTGGGGCAGAAGGGAGTTTTGGTCACAGCTGGTTAGCCCAGCCTCTCCCCCTGCCTAGATGATGTCCTTGGCCAGCACCTGCCTGCATAGCCATCCAGGAGCCAGGCAGCAAACATAGATCATAGAGCTCAAATCCACACCCAGTCTGCACCAAAGCCCAGGCAGGGCAAGGTGTAAGACTACAAGGCAAAAGTGGCTCCTTGAGGGCCTGTGCCCACCCCACCCTGGCACTACCCACCAGCCAGAGGTGCAACCAAAGCCTCCTCATCTCCAAATAAATTATGGAAATAAATTATAGTCTTCACAGTCCAGAGGATTTAGCCACCCATGGGTCTAGGGCTCAGCATGGCAGAAGCCACCTGATGTCAGCCCTGTCTCACCGTCTTTGGGCTAAGGAACATCATGCAAAGACCGAAAAGTGGTCTGCCAAGCTCCAGAGGAGCCACATTTTCTCCTCTTCCAGGCTCACATTGTGGAGATGGAAGAGCAAACTGTGGGTGTTGGGGTCTGGGCAGCTGAAACGGGAAGCCCCTCCCCACCAATCCTCTCTTTAGCACAGAAAAGTTAAAACAAATAAATAAATCCAGAGAACTGTATGAAAACCAGGAGTGTGCGCATGGCACCTGTGAGTGAGCCAGCCAGTGGGAGACTGTTACAGAGACTCTGGGGAGCCCCACAATTACAAGAAAGCAGCAACAGGTCCCTTGGGGCTGGGAAAAGGCATCTTGGTCCTCACACCAGCACAGGCTCCATTAGAGATGCTGGGACAGTGTCCTCAAACTGGCTGTCGATAAAGGGATCTAGGGCTTCAGCGACTGGCTCGGAGAAGCCCATGAGGGACTCCAGGAAGCAACTGCCGGCATCCCCAGGTGGAGAGAGGCCAGGCAGGGGGAAGTGAGGTGCCTCGATGTGGTCCAGGCTGTCAGACACCTTCTGTGATGCGTAGTGAGGCCCCAGACTATAATCTGGCAGAGCCTGGAGTAACTCAAAGGAGTCACAAGAAGACAAGCTGAGATCCACTGAGCTACTCTGGCCAGCGTCCATGCTGGGTGGCACTAAGTTGCCAGGAAGGCTGCCTTCTCTTGACCCTTCAAGGCTACCATTTAGGAAGCAGCTGGCATCGAGGTTGGCATTTTCATCCAGGATGCCCGATGTGAAGCTACAGCCAGAATAGCTATGGGTCCAGCTGGCCAGGCCACCAGGGTCACTAGTACCAAAGATGTCAGCTGGATGGAAGCAGCTGAGGTTGTCCAGGTTCCCCACACTCCCTTCCTCCTCTTCCTCCTCCTCCCCGCCGAGGTCAGAGTCACTGAAACTCAGGATCCGTGCCAGGCTGTCATCATCAACGCCAGGCTGGAAGCCAGGGCCAGGCAGGCCTGGGTGGGTAGGGCCATCAGGAGCCTCACTAGTGCCTGATGCTGAGGAAGATGCCGTGGAAGAATCAGTCATGTCGCTGCTGCAGCTGTTGTCTCCCAGCTCATTGTTCATGGGGGGCTTGGCCAGTGGGAAAGCAGGGACTAGGGCCTGCTCACCAGGGCTGGGTGGGCTGCCCTGGGCAGGGGCCTCTAGCTCCCTAAAGCTCTCAGCCTCCTGTTCCAGCTGCAGGCGGGTGAGTGTGTGGATGAAATGGGTCTGAACTCTCGCCTGATTGAATTCCACACGGCCCAGGGGGTTCTCACAGCCGTCCCTGCAGCAGCCACAGGGGAATGCTGTGTGGTCCATCTGCACAGAAAGTAGAGGTACAAGTGAGGATCACTGTGGAGTGCAAAGAAGTCCCCATGCTCAGGCTCCCCATCCCAGCCCAGTCCAGCCACCACACCTGACACTTGATGCCTGCTAGGCTGCAGCTGCAGGTCTCAGGGTCGCAGATCCTATCGCAGTGACAGCCACAATCCTCCCGGGATTGGCGCAGTGCCTGCAGCTCCCGCTTCTCCTCCCGATCGATCCTTCGCACGCCCGAAGCCCTCAGCAGAGCTCGACGTCGCCGGGCTGGGTAGGGCTGTAGGAAGCTCACTTCTTCCAACCGGCCACCTGCCACAGCGACTGCCAAGTCCTCCTCCACAGAGGCGTCATCAATGGCATCCACCGCAGGTGGTAGCCCTGCCTCTGCCTTGGGTACCCCGGCTGCCGAAAGCTGCATCCACAGGAAAGAGGTATGTGAGAGGTACAGACGTGGACATGGGCTTAGCCCTACTGTCACTAGACAAACCCTCCCCATGTGCTTGCCCTCCCACTACTCGTGCTTAATCTGTGATGGGCACTGTGTGTACAACAGTGAACAGGACAGCCAAGAATACAGTCCTCAGGGCATTTGGAAAAAAAAGAAAAAGATATCCTACTCATGGCATTCCCTAGATCATGGACAGACTCCCTTTCCTAACCAGACAGATACGCACCCCCCTAATTCATATCAGCTTCACATCCCCCTCTCCAAAAAGTTCAAGTTCAGATTCAGGTATCATGCCCCCAGCCCCTGCAGCAAATAGACACAAGCCCTCCTCTGTGCCTCCTGTTTGCAGGCAACCCAGGCAACAGACTCCAATCAAGTCAATCACTAGGCCCACAGGCCTGCTTCCCCATATACATAATGAGCAAGTCTGCACCCACCCCTGGTACACCCACCCCTCAAGGTTAGGACTCCAGGAACTGCCTTAGGAGGTGGGCCACGGAGAGGGCTCTCTCTACCTTCCACTGCAGCATCTCCAACTTCTCCTCTTTCAAGCGCTGGCGGAGCTTCTCGTGCCGTGCACGGGCTTGCTCCTGTGCAAACTCAGCCAAAGAGAAGCGGCGGCAGGCACTGTGGCGAGGGGCCATACCCAGCGTACAGCCACCACGGCTGGGCACACTGGTGAAGCCCTGGCAACGGGGGAAGTAGAAGACGGTGATCCCATCAAAGGCTACACGGCCTGGGCGCTCCCGGCGAGCCCGCTTCAGGATAGACAGGGCTGGAAAGCAGGCAAAGATGCTGGGAATTAGTTTTCAGTGAGGCACAACACACCTCCAGGAAGATCATGCCAGACTGCCCTCCCGCCTCCCACCTTCCCCCTCCTCCCTCTCCGCCCACTTTGAAAAAAGAAATGTGAATTTAGGAGCCTGTGTGGCTGGGACTGGATCAGCTGAAACTGTACATCACACCCATGTCAGCACTGGCTTATTGTTATTTTCCAGTTTAAATGACAGTATTTGTAAGATTAAACATCTTTGCTATGTTTATTAGCCATGTACAGGTCCTTTGTACGGTTTTCTATTGTTTTTTATTGATTTGTAGGATTTCTGTATTCTGCAACAGGCTTAAAAAGGCTTTCCCTTTACAAGTTAATGTTTATTGATTAGTAAGCTACGTACTGGTATTTTCATTAGGTTGAACCATAATAAATTACCATGTAATGGTGAAATATTGGAAATTCCATATATTTCAACTTACTGTATTAATTTTATACCCAGCTACCAGAGGGAATTCCCTTCTAAAAGGTTTTCTGTTTATACTGTTAGATCACATGTGCTAAAAATGATATTCTTTTTATGTGTAATGCACAGATATACATACAGTACATAAAAAGGTAAACAGCACATCTATTGTATTAAAATTTCATGGTGGGGGGGGAAATTAAGGAGAAAATGTCTTAATAGGCTTCCTGGGGAACAATAATGAAAAATAAGGTCCAGAAACACTGCTCTAGGGCCACGTTCGTCAGTCTGGAATCACAATTATGCAAGCTTGAAAACAACCAGGAAAAACCCCTTTTCACTATGTTCAGGCAAAATGGACAGCATTTTGACAGGAGAGGGACCGGCTTGACAGGCCCCATGGCAGAGAAGCAGGGGGCGGGCGGGGAACTCCAGCAGTTCCATTTGTAGGAGGGTAGGGTGCTCATTGGAGAAACGAAACTGGAACAGAAGGGAGGGGCCAGACCGGGAAGGCCCTGAGGGCACTCTGCAGAACTGCATCCTGGATGTCATTACTCCCAAGGTCAAAGGTGAATTAGCTGGGCTCAGGTGCCCCTGGACAGTGGGCACTGAGTGACCACTATATCACAGCTCGTGAGAGCTACCTCCAAGGGGACGTGACCTCCAGAGGCCAAAGGCATTTTGTCAAGGACCTCTAAATTTCATCTTTCAGGAAGAAAGGCAGGTGATGGAATTCCCAGGGGAGGGAGGACTCACGGGTGAAACTTCTGGGGCCACAGAAGTCACGGTCAGGCAGCGGCATCTGATCCCAGGGGCCTTCCTCCTCTGAGTCCCAGGCACGGGAGACAGAAGAGCTTGAGCTTGGGGAACAGGAGCGAGATTGGCACCCGGAGGAAGAGGAAGAGGAGGAGGAGGAGACCAAGGAGTTGTCCTCATCCAGCTGGTCAAATTTCCTCTTCAACAGCCCAGTCATGGTGGTGCCGGAGGTGCTCTGGGGTCTGGGGACAGACAGCCTGAAGTGGGAATGAGAAAGCTCTAAGTGGCAGGCAGGCAACAGCAGGTGGGCTTCCAGCCAGGGTCATCATCCCTCCCACTGACCTTCCAAGGCGTCCCAGAAACTGGCCTCTGCCCTCCAGCCCTGCCTGTGGAGCGCTGTGTGGTGGAGGGCAGTCTCCAGGAGGATCTCTGCACAAGACACAGCACCTCCCTCCCTCCAAACTAATGTTCAAATCCACGGCCTGATGCTTCCAACTCCTACCTCTGCCCAAAGCCTTCCCAAGCACTAGGTACCTTCCCCACCACTTCCTACAACACACACACGCGCGCGCACGCACACACACACACACGCATCCACACCAACAGGGGAAGGAGGGAGACAGACCAACAGATGGACTGACAGACCTCAGCCTGGTCTCACTCATTCCCCGACAGGAATCCTAGGGGCTGACTCACAGGCTGGGTGATTCACACAGCTCGCATCTGTGTGCCTGTGTGTGTGTGTGTGTGTGTGTGTGTACGCCCTCCAGCCCGCACAGCCCGCACGGCCATGGTATGGTGGCTCTGCTTCCTCCTCCTCCTCCAGCACACCCACACAGGCACGCCACCCTGCACATAGGCAGGGCTGCGGGCCCTTGCTCCAGGCTAGCCAGGCATTCTGGGGAACAGGCTGGCTTTGACGTTGGCCTCCACTCCTAGACGGAGTAGTTTCTGAGCCCTTCCCCTCCCGGTGTGGGAGCTTCTCAGACTTTCCCTTAGAAACCCCCGCTCCACCGTCAAGAAGTCTCCTGCCTCCAGGCCTGTGTGACCACAGCCACTCAGGCTGTCTCTTTAATATCCCATTTGATCCTAATGTCCAAAGTCTCTCCTGTCTGTGGCTTCGTGACATGGAGCACCCCACAACACAACACTGCCTCCCGTGTGAGAGTCTCAGCCTTCAGCAGAAGTATAACCAGAGACTCCCACAGCTGGCTGGCCTTCTCCAAGCAGAAGAGACTTGGGGCTCCTTCCCTGGAATGCTTCAGCGAATAATGGCCCTTCCCAAGGTCTGGCAAGCCCCAGAAGACTCAATCCCAAACGCTGAGTACAGCTACCTTGTGTCTGTTGCTCCAGCTGGGCCTTCGGGGAGGTCACCAGAGGGAAAGGGAAAGGAAGTTGAAGCTGAGGCCGAGGCCCCAGTGCTGAGGAACCCTTCCCCCACTGCCATCACAGGAAATGAGAGAGAACAGGAAAAACCAACCAGAAGGCTGTCTTGGTCTCCTCTACTCAGGTGCCCTTTGCAAGCACTCCTTCCCCCTCTGCCCAGCCACCTACGAAGTCCCCGAATCCTGTAGGGTTTGCTGTCAGCCTTACTAACTGGATAATGTTTACCCCAGGGTCAGCCTCCCCTAGGCAAGCGTGAGAGAAGCAAGAAAATCTCCCTCCCTGGCCAATCCCCCACCCTGGGCCTGGGGGAAGAAGACTCACAGATGTTTCCGGGGGCTTCTCCGTGGGTAGTTTCTCAGGCTTGGCACCCCCCTCGCAGGGTCAAACCACAAACAAAAACAACCCAGCTCCCAGCTGACCTGCAGGCTCTCCCAGGAGGTGGGGGATTCATGACCCAGAGGCAGGCATACACACGTGTACACACATGCACAGACCACACGGAAGCACACATATGGACAAACACCACCCACACATCCTGTCCCCATTGCATCCTGCCAAGAGACCCCATCCTTTCCCAGGTTCCAGATGCCATCTACAGGGCCCTGAATGCCTCCTTCACCACACATCCAGCCTGAGATCCCCCAGGACCCACTGCCCACTTGGTGTCTCCGCCCAGCCATCCCCTAGAAACATAAAATTCTGCAGGCCCCAAATCGAACCCCTTGTCTCTGCTCCCCACCCCCCATGCCATCTGTTCCTCTTCCTGTGCTCCCTATCTCAGTAACAGCCCCACCACCCACCCAGTCACTCAAGCCAGAAACCTGCAGTCATCCTCAACTCCTTCCTCTCTCTCCCTCCATCTACATCCAGGCACCCCATGCCTGGGAGTTCACGTAAATCCATTTAATCCACACAAAGCCAGGGACAGACCCAGTAGGTATAATGGAGGCCACGTGGCATAGTGTTAAGAACTTCGGCTCCAGAACCAGACTACCCGCGTTTGAACTCTGGCTCCACTATTAATTGGCTGGGTAATCCTGGGCAAGTTCCTTAACCTCTCTGTGCCTCCAATTCTTTGTCTTAAGACCTCATAGGGTTGGGAGGTTGAGAAGCATCAATACATGTCACATGTTCTTAGATTAGTGATAAGTGCTCAGTGAATGTGTTATTCCACACTGAAAAAAAAAAAAGAGCTCCAGCTCCTGGATGCACATGACACAGATGCATCTCACAGACATCATGCCGAGTGAAAGAAGCCAGACACAAGATATACGCAAATGTTCAAAAAAAAGGCAGAACTACTCCGTGATGATATAAGTCAGAGCAGTGGTTCCCCAGGGGAGGGAGAAGGACACCCTGGAGAGAGTCATGAGGGAAATTTTCTGGGGTCGGGGATAGGAAGCTGGGGGACCTGTAAAAGTTCTATGTTCATCTGCATGGTGGTTACATGGAACTCTAAAATTGTAAACATTCATCTTATGGACACATAAGATTTATATACTTACGCATTTAGGTTACTATCAATTTAAAATGTTACTAACCTTAACATGTCTCTGTCCCCACAGCAGCTACCCCATGTCCCTCTGCTCCTGCCCTCTTTCCCCAGCCATTCTTGATCCTACAGCCAGAATGACCTTCTTAAACCACACATTTACCTGCCACTGCCACACCTAGAACCACTCGATAGCCTCTATAGCTCCCCTTGGGGAAGCTTGACATTAAGATCAAGTCCAGAATTCAAGAAGCTGAAGCTGACCTGGCCACTGCTTCCCTCTCCCCACCTTGCTCTCTATACTCCAGCTGAACTTGCAGTTCCCACAGTGGCGCTCACCTCCTGGCCTCTGCAAAGCTGGAACAACCCAGCCTCATTCCCTTTCAGAAAGTCATCTTTCGAGGGGCCTCCTGAATCTCCTACTCCTTCCTCCTACCTCTCTGTGCTCCTGCTAGGGACTGAATATTTGTATCCTATCAAAATTCTTATGTTGAGACTGAATCCCCAGTGTGACAGTATTTGGAGGTGGGCCTTTGGGGGGTAATCAGGCCATGAATGATACCTTATTAGCACCTTTAAAAGAAGTGACACAAAAGAGATAGTCTCCCTCTCCAACATGTGAGCTCAGACCCAGCATGAAGGTGTGCATCTGCAAGCCAAGAAGAGGGACTTCATCAGGCTGACTGGAGCCTTGATCTTGGATTTTGCAGCCTCCCAAAGTGTGAAAAATAAATCTTTTGTTTAAGCCACCCAGTCTGTGGACTTTCTATTACAGCAGCCCAAAGTAAAACAGCTCCCAAAAACCCTGGTATTTCCCCATCACAGACTTTATCTGATCAGACTGCAGGGGCCTCATTGCTCATCTGCCTCACGCTGAGGGCATCTCTGTCTGGCTGCCCCTGTGCCCATGTCTAGGACAGAGTCTGGCATAGAGAGGGCACCTGATAATACCAGAGGTAAGCAGAGTAGCCCTGCATATCGGGTACAGACCCAATTGCACAGGCAATCTTACGCACATGAGGTTGCTGAGGGCGACTGGTCACTGTGACCTTCTCCTGCTCCTGTCACAGTTAATTTAAGAGGGGCAGGAGGAGAATCACATGTCTATCCCCCAGCTGTGCCAGAGGGTACAAGCAAGAATGGTGCTCAAAAGGGGTGGCTCTGAGGGCAAGAGAGGGAAGCTCAGGCTGCAGGCAGGTGCCAATGTACGCAATCCCAGGAGGCTCCCCGGTTCCCCAAGAGGTAACAGATGGAGAGAGATGTCAGGAAAGCAGGCTCAGCCACACACTGCGGCTCTGCCTAAGGGATGTCCACAGAAAGAGAACTTAAGGTGAGGAGGTTATGACCTCCAAGCCTACAGACAGGGGAACAGAGACACAGGGAAGCTACAGTCATGCTGCAGGTTCTAGTGATGAACAATCCCTTCCAAATCTGCAGCGCAGGAATGAAATGAGAAATTGCCTCCTCCCTGATACTCCTCTGGAGAGGCGGGGGAAGTGCCCCTGGTTCTCGTGTTCCTCTGTTCCACGTGGGAATCCAGAGGCTAAGAGGCAGAGGCAGGACATGAGACAAAAAGACTGAGCCAGAGACAAGGAGAGGCCAAGAGGGAACGAAAGATAGTGAGAATCTAAGAAAAGTGTCAGACAGTGAGTCAGAGGTGGGGGGAGGGGCCCTCAGCAGCTACCCAGGAATCAAGATTCTGACCGTGGCAGTGTTCCCAGGGTGAGCACAGCCCCCTCCCTAGGGTCCTGGAGGAAGGAAAAGCAGTTCCCAGGAGCTGGCTTGGACAGAAATACCACACCGCCGAGGAACCCCAGAGACAGGCCCTGAATCAGAGAGCCAGGCTTCTTCTGGGATCTGAGCCCTGACAATCGGGCAGCCCTCCTGCCACCACACACAGGCACTGATAACCCCCCACTCAACTGGCCACAGTTACCCACACACTCAGGTCACACTGTGCGAATCCAGGAAAGGCCACCTCACCCCTGGGCACCAAGCAACCAAGGGCTGTTTTCGAGAAGTGGGGGCGGGGCTTGAAAAAGTCACAGCAACTCCTCTGTCCACCTCGGCAGTCCCACCAGTGCCCCAGGCCTCAGCCCAAGCCAGTCTTAGGGAGGGGGCACCTTTAGCTGCCTCCATCCCCCTTCAGGAATCTGAAGAATGTGTCCTTTAACCTCTGAGCCCCAGGCCTTGGCCAGTCCCCCCAAAACACTTGGGGTCACATGACCCCCGTCCCTCAGGAACAACTTCCTGGGAGAAGGGGAGGGCACCTCCCAGCACCTCTAGTCCCCACTGAAAAACCAGCCTGGGTGGCCCAGAGAGGACAGACCGAAAGCCTTGGCACTTCCTCCCCAAGCATCCCTCTGAAGGAGAGCTGGGGGAGGGGATGGCTCCTCGGCTTTGGCCTTCAGGACCTGGCACTGGATAGGTGCCAAATGTATGCTGGCTACATGAGGCACTTGTTCCTGCAGAAGGGACATTGCACCTGACAATGACTGCCTCCACCTAAGACGGGCCTTCTTCCCTCTCTTTCATTCATTCATTCAACAAATAGGCACCAAGCTCAACAAACACGTGCCAAGCACTGTGGCAGGCACTCGCGCATGCAGGGAGCAAGACTTACAACTGCTGCCCTCTTGAAGCTCTGAGTTGAGCAGGGAGGACAAATAGAGTGGGGTGCTGGGATGGAGGGTCTGAAGGGTGGGACAGGGTACGGCTGGGGTGAAGGTAGGTCTCTTTGAGGAAGGAAAGTAGGCAGAGCTCCAGACAGGGACTCCGCATGGGTAAGGAACAGGAGGAGGGACCAGGAGAGCGTGATCGGAGGAGGGGCAGCCCGCGAGGCTGATCCTGGGCTCCAGGGCAGGCTTTAGCTCGAGGGCACGGCAAGCCACAGAGGGCTTAACTAGGGAGTGACAATGCCAGATCTGCATTTTAAAAACGTGGCTCAGCACCGGGAGTGGAGGGGGTGTGACCGGTTGGAGGTGCTGCCAGGGCCAGGTGAGAGGACAGGTCAAGGGCAAAGGAGAAAGGCAGACACTGGGATGTGGTGCAAGAAGAGGGCAGGGCTGTCAAGGATTTGGGTCGGGGGAGGTGATGAGTTCCTCTCCAAAAGGATTGAGACTTCTGGGTGGAGGCGCTGGGTGGGCAGCAGGAGACGGGGAGGGACTCTGGTGTCAGGAGTGTGGGCTACGGCTGTGTGTGGTTGTGCCAGGAGCGGGAGTGACTAAGTGTGTGACTACGGCTGTGGTGTGGGCATCTCCACGGTGCGTGCCTGTGAATGGGCCCCGGGGAGGAGAAACTGAGGAAGGGGAGGAAGTACGTGCTGCGGAAGGAGGAGAAGTGCGTGGGAGAGAGTCTACGTGTGCCTGCGGGTGGCCGGTGTAGCTGCGCCC